AAAAAGGGGAATTACTTTTTCTTCTAATCAAAGCATCGCAATTAGGCAAAGCAGCCGATGCAACAGAAGAGGAATCGAAAAATGAAAAAGAATTTGTGCGGGGCGATGTAGAACGAAAAGAATTTGAAAAACTAAAAAAGGAGGAAATGAAAGAACATGAAGGAAATTGGGACTTAATCACAGCATTTATTTCCTTTGGACGAAACGTTGGACATAAATTACGTGGAATGAGTAGAGTGGAAAATTTCTTCATTAATTGTATTTTTTTTTATCGATGAAATTTAACCTCGGTTTTCTAAATGCAGCAAGAATGTATGAAAGTTAATAACAATGAACATATCATGTGATTCTTCACTCAATCGTCATTTGACAGATAATGATATTGCCAGTCAAGGAAATAAAGATTTCTTTTTACCTTGATTTAGCATACGGAGAAGTGAAGTTTCTTACTGATCCAAATACTCGTGAATTATTTAATCGAGTTAACCGTAAAGTCAGATTTAAATAATTAATTATTGAATCGAAATCTTTAACGGAGGGCCATCAAATAACAATAAATACGAGAAGTTGGATCAATAGTTCGTACGTAACATGATGAAAATATCTTACGAAACTTTAACCTAGAAAAACGCCTTTGAATTTGAGTAACTAGGATACGTAACAGATAAGAAGGTTACATTATTACACAAAGTGATTTTTATGTCATAATATTATTTAATATTGAGTTTGGAAGGATTAGCAGAATTGTGTTCCACGCTTATCAATAGATAAGATATCCAAGATAGCTGTTCTTTTCATAGCGATAAATTTAGTTCGAATAGTCTTAGATTCGCGTGATTATGACAAATGATCAGACGATTTGGTCATTAATCTCATAGTAATAAAATTTACTATGCGGATAATAAAAAATTTAGCTTACAAAAAGTTTAGTATGTACAATAAGAATTAAAAGTAAATCACGGTTAAAGAGTAAAAAAAAATTGTAAATTTAATAGTATAAACCGTCGAAGTTAATATAGTTTGGAGTGCAGCTAGCTTACAATGAAAAGTTTTTTTTTGTTTAAGTAAACTTGGATTTCTAATAAATATTGTAGAGCAAGCTATTCCGGTTCTAATAGTAGTAGAATTAAAATCGGTAGATGCGGTTTTACTTATTATCAGAAACTTTCGGCATTCATACATTATATGAAAATAATAGTAATTTTCAGCAGATTTTTACTATGAAATTTATACCTTCAACTGCAATCTACCACTTAATTTTGTCACTAATATATACGAATTTTTTTTTTTTGTCTTTATTAATTTTACGTGGCTTGACAAAAATGTCGCGTCAATAAAATCCAGTTATACGTGGAAATATTTTCAAGGTAATTTAAATCTATCAAGGTGGCAAGGCTCAGCTTAACGAACCATATCAGCCCGACCACGCCTTATTTTTTATTCATGCACAGCCACTTATAAACATAACAAAAATTCTAAAAAACACATATAAGGATGAAAATACCTGCGCCAAATTTAAATTCTTTACTACATGTCATGATCTTTAATTTGAATAGAATTATTTTATACGCGTTATTCGCGTTGTCTTTTGCAGCTGCACATCCATTTCACGCTTTTGAATCACGAGAATGGCACGACCGAAGAGTTCCGAATCCTTTAGTTGCACGAGTTGTCCCCACGGAAGGTGCTGTTGCCAAAGACCCGAAAGCTCCGACCACCACCTCTGTGATGGCTGCAAAGTCTCCAGCTTATAATTCTGCAACCGTAACTAGTATAATTTCACCAACACCACTTGTACTAGCACCACTTGTACCAACACCGCTTGTACCAACACCGCTTGTACTAACACCGCTTTTGGCAAAAGAGACCAGTAATCAGGTACCTCCAATAGGTGCTGTCGCCGTAGTAAAGCATACATATCCTCCTATAAATGTTTCCGAGATTGAAGCTGCTGCTGTATTAATACCTGCTGCCGCCGCAGGTGGAGCCTCTAATGCTTTGAATAATCCACTCCTTCCCTTCCAACAAAATAAGAATTCACATATCAGAACTCACACTCACTCAAAACATACTACATCTACAACATCTTCATCTACTTCCACTACAACTGAAAGCACCTCCACAACGACATCTACTTCTCAACCTCAGCAGTCTTCTCAATCTCAGCAGCAGCAGTCTTCTCAGCAGTCTTCTCAATCTCAGCAGCAGCAGTCTTCTCAGCAGCAGCAGTCTTCTACTAGCGCCGCAAATTCTTCAGTGTTACAAGCTGCTGCCGGAATCGGTGTCGGTTTAGCTGGTGTGGCTGCTAGTGCGATTGGCGCGGCCTATTACTTCAAAAATAAGGATAAAAATGAACAAAATGGTAATGGCGGAGGTGGTAATGGTAAAGATGATGATGAACCAAAAACGGGAATTAAAATTGATTCTCATGGTCCCTCGTCAACATTTGTTGATCCTGACGATGACAATGATGCTACTAAATCTGCAGCGGGGGAAGACACGATTTTCGGTTCACAAGCTGCGTCTACTTCGCAGCCTGAATTAGTTCAAGATACTGTAGGGTCTGTAGGAATGGAAAGACATCACTCTGACTAAATTTTTAATTTGGAAAAATATTGCCATTATTTATATATTTTGCACTATACATTTTATAGCGTTTAATGTACATATTAAAGAATAAATGCTTAGAACTGTTTAATGTTAATGTTGTGTTTCAACAACTTAATGTAGATAATTCTACAAAAGTCATAGCTTGAACTAATAATAAATTCTTACAATATTTATCATTATATGGGGGGTGAATCAGTAGAAACGCACCAAGTCTTTTTTAATAAAATTTTTTTAAACCTTTTAAACAAAAAAATAACTCAACAAAAGCTCAATCAAATTTAACATAAATTTTATTTTTTATTTATTTTTTTTTTTTTTACCTCCCTCCGCTATCCTGAAGGTCCTTAGACACCTTAGGATCTGTCACATCTTTAAGGCCAGAGTTATCATTCAGCGGAGATCAACGTACGGCCGGTGACCTCTGAATCATCACTGTACTCGTGAGATAACTCATGCTCCATTAAGTCCATCATTTGACGTCCTGGGTCCCTGGTTAACACAAATTTTTTTAAATGAATTCTATAAATTTATACTATATTTAATTGTTATTGTTTGTTGAGTTATTTTTGTTCGAAGTTTTAAAAAATTTAAAAAATGGTGTGTTATAGGGATGGATTGGTCCCAAGTCGGTCCTGTCGGTCCTAAGCAGATTGCAAAATTTTGAGATCATTTTTTTCTTCGTGAACCACTAATTAAAGTTGTTTAACAAAATTTTAATAGTACTTAATTATTGAAAAATAGTGAAAAAAAAGCTCAAAAATTCAAAAATTTGCAAAATGTAAGTTTTAGGACCGATCTTGGGACCGATTTAGAACCGATACAATCCTACATGTTAGAATAGGTTTGCCACTATTTTTCAATAAGTACAGTACTATTCAAATCTTGGTTTAAATAACTTTAATTAATGGTTCACGAAGAAAAAATATCTCAAAATCTTGCAATCTGCTTAGACCGACAAGACCGATTTGGGACTAATTCATCCCTAGCTTCAACCAGTTTACCCCAATATTTTCAATTCTTTTTTGCTAATTTTACGTATTTGCATGATTTACGTCAAGCAATAAATCATTCATAGCTTTTTTATCAAAACGATTGGATATTCTTTTTTGTATTATCACTTAAACTATATTCTGGGCTAATTTGAAAGTATTTAGTTTTTAAATAAAATAATTCGGCCAACATTTATATATTATATTTGCGTATTTATTGGCCAAATAGGTTGCAATTGAAAAGGTTGATTTAAACTTTAAAGACTTATCCTTTAGTATTTAAATATTCTTTATGCAAAGTTCAAATATTAGTTTAAAATAAACTTAAACCCAATTTTAATGTTAAAGTTGAATGATCCTTTATTGTTCTTTATGTATCAAGTTATAAGAAACTTTTATTAGCAGGATTTTTTAATGGATAATTTATTTTAGGGAAATTCTATTTTCACCCGGGTTAAAGTCACCCGCTATATAATTTTTATTATACTATACCGGGTGTTTGATAAGTCCCTGGACAGGACCTTTTTTAAATCACTAAATAAATTATTATACTATATAAAAAAA